GGTGCACAGTTTTGGCTGCTTCATTGTTTTGAAGTCGTAGCAGTTGTTCGTCATAATTTTGTTTTCGAAGAATCCACACTGTTTTGGGTGAGCAATAAAGCGTAATCGTACTCTAGATCTGGGTTTCAATCTAAGTATCATGTATGATTATTATTACAAAATAAATTGTGTAAGGGTATAATGATAACCCAACTATTGTGCAAGTCTATGGTATTTCCCATATCTCACCAAGTATTATGGAGTTGCATTATATGTACTTGGGAACATAAGTTGATATGAAAATATGATTTCATTAGATCCTTTGCCTGATTCGAACTCTTGAAGGGCTATCAGCTTGTTACATTCATCAGATATACTGAAAATCAGATGAGGTCGGTGACGTATGGGACAAAAAAGCTTGGACTTGCCATAATACTAATACATGTAACTACAAAGCTTCAAACAAGTTGAGTCCGCTTTAAAGGTATCGTTTAGCAATGTTAAATCTGAGATGCACGGCCCTACGTGTTATCAGTATCTGTGATATGGTGTAATATTGAAGCCCTGAAAGAAAAAGGCTCTTCAAAATGATCAAGAAGTGCCTCAAAAAAGTAAAAATCTTTGAGTGACCGGTTTTACCATACTCGTTTGCCCCAATAGACTGTAGTGTTATGAAAACCTTAGGAAAACGCAATATTTGGTTTCGATTTCCAATCATAAATATCTTGATAATCAGACAGGCGATGGGCTTGTAAAAGTCATGGGATTCCTTAATGACCTAAAGGTTTATAGTATCATTGCAGCATGAGCTAAATCCAGGATTTTGTTTCAGAATCTGAGACAAAGTTACCGGAAAATCGTGCAAGCCCATGATTGATGAACGTTGAAAAATAGACGAAGAATTGCCCCCCCCCCCCCCCCCAAAAAAAAAAAAAAAAAATAATAAAAAAATAAAAAAATAATAATAATAATAATAATAATAATAATAATAATAATAATAATAATAATAATAATTTAAAAAAAATTAAAAAAATAATAATAAAATTAAAAAAAAAAAAAAAAAAAAAAAAAAAAATTATTTATTTATTTCTGATATTTATACAGGCCCTGTTTGGTAACAATACTTTTCAATAATAATCATCAATAAAAACAGATAACAGCAACACACAAAAATAGAGAAATAAATACACAAATGTTTCTGCAGGATATAATTTTCCTTCTGTTTTGCTATAAATACTGCATTGTAAATTGATTATACGGTATATATGTTTACAGAATATTGATATGTTACATTGCATTGTAAATTGACTTATAGGACATATATGTTTCCAAACAGAATATTGATTTGTTATATTACATTGTAAAGTGATTATATGTTTATAAACAGATTATTGATGTACATCAATGAAGTTTAATAAATACAATACATGTATATGTATAAAGTATACAAATTAATTGGTATCCTCATAAAAAGCGGATTATTCAAGAAATACCGTTGCACATTGTTAATAGCTTATTGTTTGTGTCAACAGTTTTTGGTTTGTAAATCAGATGCTTCATAGTCGTGAGATTTTCAGGCATTGCACAACAACAAAAATCATAATAATGAATTTTAAATCAACAAGAGATTTAAAATCGATTTTAAAGATCATAAGCAAGGACGAAAAATGTACATGTATATTATCTGATATAGCCTACTACGCGGGATATATACCAAAGTTTTTACATATTTACATTGGATATATTTAAAGGTAATCAATGTTTTTCAAGTAATACTATACAAGTAATACACTTTGATTGTTCACAAGATAGCTGAATAAATTTAAAGCCAAATAAATAAAAAGAGGAAAAGAAATTTGGTGATTAGCTGATGTCTCTGCTTTTTATCTCGATCGATATTGTGAATCTAAAAGTGTTATAACAGACTGTCAGACGGATTTCCCCTTTTATTATCTTGTAAAGCCCATGTGGAGTATCAAAACCAAAGTGGTGGCACCGACGAAGGGGGGGGGGGGTTATTCCCACCAGCCACTTCACTGTGCAGAGTATTAAACTACGTTATTTTCGTGACATGAAGTTTGCCTTCTTTCCCTAATTTTTTTCCCTTGCATCCACCCCTTCAACTTTCACTATTTTGCATTTTTTAAATGTCATTACTTGCAAGCCTCCCCCCCCCCAAAAAAAAAAAAAAAATAAATAAATAAATAAAAAAATAAATCAATAAATAAAAATTAAAAATAAATCAATAAATAAAAATCAATTCGGATTCAGATTTTTATTCTTTCTTTCTTCATTAAAACCCAAAATTACACAATTTTACCAGATGATTTTTTCACTCTCAAGTCATTTTTTTAAAGATTGAAAACGCATGGGGGCACTTAATTTGACTAGATCTTGTATTAAAAGACGCTAGCTATTCTACAAGTTGTCTATAATAATACTAATATTCCGCTTTATTATATATAGCAATGTCTCTAAGCGCTTTACATATATAATATTACCCCGGTCATTGGATTCAGTGCTTGTCCGCACACACTGTGTGCACAATCTCCACTCTCCCTGGGGAGCGTTCCAGCCAGGCGTTACTTGACGCCCAAAACCTGTCTTTGGCCAATTCGTCTCCGTCATGATGGTTTATTCCGCTTTCTCTTATCATGCCCACCAAACATAATGAATTACCATCAATTAAGAACTGATCTAACTTGTATCGGAAGGATGAACTCTGTAAAACTCTATTTCCTTATCCACGTGTCGTTACCTTATATGGCTTGAACGGATTTTGTTTATCGCCTTTATCTACTGCGGATGCCGTATCCATTGTCATTTAGATTAGTAATGATGATTGAAGTTAGAAATAAAAAAATCCATTACCAGTCCCTATTTTTTATTTATTTTTTTATGGGGGGGGGGGGGCCAATGAATGTTCCTCTTTTATCTTAAACTAACACCTACAGAAAAAGGATGTGATATTGATGAGTGGGAGGCTATACCACACAATGTTGGTAATGTCGGACTCGCGTGCCTCCTGTCATCTTCTTCGAGTGTTTTTTTTTAAATTTATTTATTTATTTATTTATTTATTTATTTATTTATTTATTTATTTATTGTGGTATAAAAAACAATTGTACATGGCAGCCTATCGGCTGAATTGAGTGCAATTTACATAGGCCTAAGTAAAAACACAAGGATACTGCACATAATACAATAGTATTAAAAAGTCATTAAAAATAGTACATTCATAACAAAACAATAGGTACACCTTAGATCAAAGAATATTGATGAATATTGAGTGTTCACAAGAACGATTGCCGAAAAGGTCGACATTTCCCCCGTATGTATAACTTTGGTTTGTTGGTCTCATGGGCCATGGGTCTACTGGAATGACCCTCAAAGTGGATGAGGGTGAACTACGGGAGTGGAATAAGACCTTATGATTTTTTCAGTTTAATGTAAAAATCAAGCTCTGGACGTTATTTAGTCGTGGTAGCGAAGAGAAAGGTAGAATTAAACTTAATTTGTATGAAAATATATTCCAATTTGTTATCATTTCGTCCATCACTCAACAGATGAACTACAGTTAGTAAATACAGAGTTGGGGTGGTGTGGAGATTTTTATCACAAAAAACATGATTTTGTTGAAGTTTTTGTTACTGGCAAAGCACCAACAATTTCAACGACCAAACAATTGTCCTTTGGTGATCGTAAAGAGGCTTTTTTGTGGGATTCGGGGGGGAAATAAAAAGTTATTATTCATAATTATGTACTTTATAAAAAATACCAAGAACAATTTTCAACGGGAGAAAGTTCATCAGTTCATGGGTGGATTGACAGGGAAAACCCCGGTATTTTCCCCGGGAGTTTAAAAGCTCACAATTCCCAGGAGCTGATGTATGCTAGCAGGAACCTTGATACGCGAGACAATGGCAAGTACAGATCGGGATATTGTGAAATAACAGTTGACAATAAATCCCCTTTCCTGTCATCTTTCGATGTCGCCTCCTACTTCCTGTCTTCCCCCTTTCCTCTCAACCCCCCCCCCCCCCTCTTCTAAATGAGCGGGGCATATGTAGTCTTGGGGGTGAAGACCCCGGAAGCTCTGTGCTAATTTCATTGCAGGGTGAATACAGTGGAACAGTAGACTCTTAATATCATGGATGAGTCGGGTATAGGAGTTGACAGTAAGCCCCAAGTAGACCTCCAAGCTGTAAGCTCCCCATACCTCTGAGCCTTAAAACAAGCCTCTTGATATCTTAAATCACGGAGGAATATTTGACATTCAGATTCATATTCAGACTAAACAGACTTTTATTTCTTCATTATAACCAAATGAATATAACATTGAATTTACGTCCACTCCAAGTGCGCTCCTATCTTTATGCGAACTGTTCATGAAACTTAAAACACTAGCAGGAGGCAGGAGATAAATCTCCCCCCCCCCCCTCGTCTGCCCCACCCTCGACACCACATTGCCATTTATATTGTCCAAAATATTTTGTGAAAAGAGTTAAAGAATAGTGGTGTGACATTTTGATGTAAGGTCATTTACCCTCAAATATCCGTCCTTTGAATAACAGGGATCTATATTGAATCTGGGGTGAATAGTGAGGTTTACCTCCTAAAGTCAGGTGATTTTTCACTCTCATATTCCCGTCCATCATCAGTTCTCCACCCCCATTGGTGGAGTGGACTTGGCAGAGTCAGACTTTCACTACTAACCAATCAAAGCACAGCATCCACGTCATGAATATTCATGACTCAAAGCTTACCGAGTATGAGACTATACTGCATAGGCCCTGTACATTACCTGCTTCAGCCAGAGACTGACAGTGCTCTGTTCTGCTCAGAGCTTTGATTAGAGTCTGTGCCTGCAGACTATTATACGGGCTTGCCAAGAGCCATGTATGTAACTACTGGCCAATCACTGTTTAACACTCCCGTTATGAATATTCATAAACAAAAGTTTACGGCGACTCCCATGTACATGACTACTTTTTAGGCTGTGTCGAGCATTGCGAAACGTGACGATGTTGACGAGAGGAATATGAGTATTTATCGCTCAGGATTCAAAATATTGCTCACAACTCCCGAGGATCTCCTTTCGTAGAGACCAAAATCCATTTACAATCCCTTTTTTTGTGTGTGCATGTGTGAAATCACTTGGATACAATGCCAAACTACTGCGGTGCTCCACACAATATTGTAGGCGCTATACGTCGCTGAACAACCACAACAAACTGTGAAAAACTAGTGCAGTTTGACTCTGGACTTGTTTATGAATCGCTTTTAGGAATGCCTCAAAACTGACCCTGTTTATGGACGGGAACATTGTTGTAGGGTATTTCTAGAAAGATAGGAATCAAATTGTATTTCGACAAAGAATATTTGTAATTCACAATTAAACAAAGTCAACAAATGACAAGATGCTGAAATCGACTCTCATGCTGCTCCTTTTTTTCCACTTAGGAAGGGGTACAATACGAGCAAATGCACAAGGGATTAGCGAAGAGGGTGGAAGATTCAAAGACAAGCTGAAGGAGTTGTTCGACACCCAACCCGTGAGCGAGCTCGTGTTCATACTCGACTCGTCTGGAAGCGTCGCTCAAAGCGACTTTATAATATCCGTCGAGTTCCTTAAATTCGCATCGAAGATCATTAGCGTGTCTGCGAGTACGACGCGCGTCGCGGTCATCTCGTATTCGAGCTGCAATCAAATCCACATTCGGGTTAACTACATCAGTTCGCCTGAAAACAAGAACAAATGCACGTTTGATAACGATTTGACCTCTGTGAATTACCATCCTGGTGGGACGTGTACGGCAGGAGCACTAGAGGCTGCGGGTCGTGATGTTCTCAGCCATGGGCGCCCAGGTGCACAAAGGTACGGGATTTAGGTCTCACCCTCTCCCTCTTTCTCTTGTCTATCTCTCTCGTCTGTTTCTTCCATGTCTCTCTCTCTCTCTCTCTCCATCCTACCTTTCCATATTAATCTCTTTTTCTTCTTCTCCCATTCCTTCTTTTGTTTTTCTATGCCCCCTCTCCCCCGCTGTGACACGTCACTTCTGTGCACATGTTCATGTCTATTCTTTAAGATACCCGTCTCTCTCTGTTTCTCATCCGTCATTTCATTTACCTCCATTTGTTATTCATTATTTACTACTCAGTATTATTATTGATTATTTATTTTAGGAAATTGGATCTATTCATTATATTCACTTTTTATCATTCATTTTAATACGAATTATTTATTATAAATCATTTATTTTCTTCTAGAGTTGTGATGCTTCTAACTGATGGTGCATCCAACGATGGGGGCCCTCCTCACGCAAACGCGCAAAAACTAAAAAGTGAGGGCGTTAAAATCTTCACAATCGGCATCGGCAGTATCAAGCTTAGTGAGCTCAACGCTATAGCAACCAGTGTGGATGAGTACGTGTACATTCTAGCCGATTTCGGTGACGTCCGGAACCTCGCAACTGTTGTGAAAGACGGTAAGAATGCATTTGTAAACAAGGACCAGATTAAAGATCAAAAGTTGAGTTCTGGTCACGTGATAACATATAGTGCAAGAAATTGCCTGGAAGCCATTGGGAAAAAGTTGATTATTAAGTTCTTAAGAACTGGTGTAGACTGCGAGGTTCTGAATTCATCAAAATAACATGAAGTTCACTCATTCTGGCTGTAAGTCACATACACTGCAAACAGAAATGTGTATATAGGATTACACAAGCATGTGGCATGAAAGTTTGATCCGAACATGCCAACTATTTCTTGTTATATCGGGCATGTTAGGGAATTTGAAGAACAAATTTTTCAGGGGATGGTTCACGGGGGGGGGGGGAGGGGTACTCACATATTAGGACATATGGGGATGTACCGCTCTAATGTGTCACTTTTTCACAACAAATCCCTAAACATGGGTCCCACTTTTAACAAAAATACCAAAAATAGGACCGTTTTTTTCTTCAAAATTTTCGAAAAAACACCCGGAAATTGTGAAAAATGGGTTTTTCTTTCGAGAAAAATGAACCTATTAATGGGTAGGGGTTTCGATGCTTGAGCGGCACACCCCCGTCCAAACCAAATCTGAGTATCCCCCGGGGGCGTTATTTTCTTCTGCGGCACAGATTGGGCCTTTTTTTTTAAAAGGGGTCTTGATTTAACACTAACCCTAACCCTAAACTTTCCCGTAGTCTCAACACGCACTTAACTCCAATCTGTGCCGCCGAAAATAATAACGCCCACCGGGGGGATGGTTTTTCTATGATTGACAAATTACTTTTCTCCTTTACCAGAATTCTACTACTGTATCTTTTTATAACACTCCATTGTCATATTGCTTTCTAAGGGCTTTGTCAAATTATAAAGAATAAACAGAAGTGATTAATCGATAAATGGAATACAGCCAAGCTAAATTAACCTGACATTTGCTCTGGTAACAAAATTATTGCTGTTATTCATCATTCTGTCAGTATAGGGTTAGGAAAGGGGTCGAAATGGGTTTCAGGTTATGCTTGGATTAGGTATAGTGTTGGTCCTGGTGTAAAGGTAGGAATTCGGTTAGTGTAGGAAATTAACGGAACAATCATCGCAGGAGCACGATTCGAACAACTAACCAGCTACCTATTCAGCTGTAATAAGAGTTATGTGTTCAATTTGAGTCGATTAGCTCTATTTTAACTTAACAAGAGGAAGGAATAGGTTGTCACAGTTTCTCCCGATATTATAATAACGACACAACGCTAACTGACTTTTTATTTGTATGTTTGTTTGTTTTCTTTGGTCAACTTTTCTGCACAGACATCAAGGATTATGACGCGTATTTCGACACCGTGAGTGCGGATCAGTGTGGCAGTTCGTGTGACAGCCGTGCACTTTGCGCATGCGCTACCCGTAGCGGGTCGACCCTCTGTGTATGCGAAGCTGGCTTTACAGGAGACGGAGTTTCATGTCAAGGTAGTATTTTTGAAGTTTTGTTTCTTTTTCATGATTGTTAATATAAGAAAGCGCGTGTGTGTTAGTTGTAGGCAACCGGGGGTCCGACGGCTTTATGTCGACTCCGAGGAACTGGGTCATGAGGAGTTGTTGTTTTTATTTCCGTATGAGAAAAAAATCAGATACAAATACAAATATACGGCTGGTTACCCATATTCAGCTGCAACTATAATTGTTGCTGCTGGTCTTCCATGGGGCCAGTTAACAATATACAAAATATACATAATGTTACAAATTAACAAAATAAATAATTACAAAGTATCAGTCGAAAACTTAATACAAATACTTAAAGGAAAAACAAAATACAAAACAAAACAAACAAAACAAACATCATATAAACATACATAAAGAGATACAACATCAAGGTGATTATAGTCTGTTTAGGTTAGACTTAAAGGTGGCAAAAGTGGGTAGTTGACGCAAATCAGGGGATAATTTATTATATTGAAAAGAAGCTCTGTACACAAAAGTTCTTTTACAATAATTAGTTCTTGGCTTAGGTAAAGAGAGGTTATGTGCATTACGGAGGGAGTATGGAGAGGGTTTAAACTCAAACATGTCTTTCAAATATTCAGGGGTCATGTTATGTAATGTTTTGTAAGTTAGGAGTAATAAATGGATTCGTTGCCTTTCACGTATCATTTGCCAACCAAGACAGCTATGAATTTGACTGGTAGAAGTATGCGAATAAGGGTTAACTTTTAGTATGATTCTACCGGCCCTATTTTGAATTTTTTGGAGTTGTATTAAACTGTTACTGCAGGCAGATTGCCATACTACAGTAATGCCTTACCAAAGGGAATGGGCGCATCGACTTGGTTTCGCGAACCGGGCACCTCCCGGTTATGAAATCATTAGGCTACTCTACCACTGAACCATCGCCAATATACATGCCATATGATCTAAGCATTTTATCATTGTCGACAGAACTATCTGAAGTATCATGAAATTGAAAAGTATGCTATGACCTGGACCATCATCTGCGCTGATCTCGCCCTTGACAGCACATATCTTATACGCCATTAATTCAAATAAAATGTTGGCATAGTTCATTATGTATTTATACTTTCTTCACGACAACAATCTCTTAATGATGCATCAAGTGCACACAAGTCGTTGAAGCAGCATCACGTTCGTAACTTGACACATCTTGTGCAACGTGCATAATCAATCAGTCAGTTTATCATTCAACCCTTTTATCAATCAAATAACCTTACAGTTTCAAATCAGGACCTACATGACGAATTATGGGGACGGGCCTTATACACCCTGGCCGCCTTATTTTATATATAACCTAATCTACAGTAGTTATACTAGATTGGACTGGCATCGCATCAATTGATCAATTAGCAAAACATTATTCAAATTAAAGTTTCAATTTATTAATTGAATTTACTCTATGAAACATTTCATTAGTGATTAGTCAATCATTTTTCGATCGAATCATCTTGCAGAGTTGTGTGTCAAAATTGTGACTTACAAAACTAAGTATGGGGACGGGCCTTTTACCCCTTGCCCATACCCCCATTTCTATAACTACATCTAAGAGGATTCGTAGTTTATCCGACTGCCAGTGCATCAGTTGAATCATTTACTAAATTAACAGATCAATAAGTTAATCGAATAGTCAAATTGATATCCGTGGACTTCAATCCACCAACCATTCAATATTGATCAATAATCAATTAATCGATTTTTTTTTGTCGATCGAATCATCTTGCAGAGTGTCTAATTGGAACTTACAAGACGGCTTATGGGGACGGGCCTTGTACACCCTGCCCTACCCATTCTAGGACTTCATCTGTGAGGAGTCTTAGTCAATCGGAATGCCGGTGCCTGAATGGATACGAGGGGAACCCGGGTGAAGATGGAGGCACCTGCCAATGTAAGTTTTTTTTTTTTTTTGGGGGGGGGGGGGGTTAAAAAAAACTTTGCTGGTTAGTTTGTTTTTAAAGTTTGTTTGTATCATCAATTTATTATTTTTGCGGTTGTTTTTTTGCTGTACATTGAATAATATAAGCGTCATATTCCGTCCAATGTAACGTAGTCATACAACAAAAGCGACTCGACTAGGGCAGGCTGCGTTTAAAGATAATATTGAGGTAAAGACAAAAAATGAATTCTCACAGATCAAATCCAACTCGAACTAAATTTACAAGACTTACCCCTAAAAAGACTGATTTAGCCCCCACCCCCCCAAAAAAAAATGAATAAATAAATAAATAAATAAATAAAAAATAAAATAATATAAATAAATAAAAAAAAAAAAAAAAATAAAAAAATAATATTAATAATAATTTAAAAAAAATAAAATAATAATAATAATAATATAAAAATTTCAAAAAAGAAATTCTTCTGCGTCAAAAAAGAAATTATTCTTTTTATCAACCCTAAGTGGGATATTTCTTAGTTTTCACCCAAGATAGCTTCACTCACTTTTATGTACACGGTTAACGCATTTGGTAGAAAATTGCTGAAGGTTAATGTACGATCAAATCTTGGCGGGCAATTTTATGCCCGATATGAAAATATATTGCCTAATCTTGGTCAACTTGAATTCAAAATTTACCAGCATATCATCGATTTGAACATAATTATAAGTGCCCCCATGTAGATCTGTTACATGATTACCCTCGTGTAATGTAATTCTCCTCCGACATTGTTTACAGTGCATGGGAAAGATTAAATTTCACAACATATTTAATGCAATACCGGGTTTTTCTCTAACTTCTCAGAAATTTGTCTCCGTTAAAATTGATCTCCAGAGCCGACCCTTAATCTCCAAAGCCTGATGTTTGCTCGATGCGTCAATATCCTGTTTGCTAGCATTCTAAAACAAAGGGAGAATCGTCATTTTTCCATAGCTGAACTCGTAATTGTTGTGCAGAAGTTGTTTTGGCAGTATTTCAGCCAAAATAAGAAGAAGTTCTCCATCCCCAACCCTCCCCTCCCCTATGCAACTCTGTTCTTATGAATCTACCACTTCCATTGTGATCGACCGTGACAACACGTAATTGGTTTTCTACGTTAAAAATACGTTATCGTTTTGAGAACAAAAAACTTTCACTTAACTTTTAGGATGATATATAGTTGCTTAGTGTGATAAAATGTGATTTCGGGGTGTGTTACTGTGTTCTGGGGGATTTCTAAAAGTGTTACCCATACGCACCTATATAGTGAAAAATGGAAATGACATTTAATGGTCTAATGTACTTTTTAGTTTATTTATCAATTTATTTCTTTTCATATTAAAAAAAAATCATCCTTTTATTTATTTGTCTGTTCGTTTATTTTTTCATTAATTTGTCTGGTTTTTGTTAATTTGTTTGTTTTTTGTTAATTCATTAGTTTGTTTGTTTATTTATTCATTTATTCATTTAATCAGTCAGTCATTCAGTCATTTCTTATTTTATGTATTCATTTAATTTATTTATATGTTTACTTTAATTATAACAATAACATGGAAATATCTTGGACGCATCATGCACAAGGCGCTCGTTTTGTTGTTGTTTGTATTCACATATATAAATTAATTAATTAATTTTGTTTAGTAATCTGGTGTCCAGATATGAATAATCCTATATTTGATATAAATGATATGATCATGGAGGAATGCGAAATAAGCTTCATTCATTTGTTATTTATTCATTTTTCATTTGTTTGTTAATTAATGTATTTAGTATCTATCTTTATTTCTTTTCTTTTTTGTTGTGGTAGCAATCCGATGTCCAGATCTGAATAACGTAGACATAAACAGTGTGATCATGGATGAGTGCGATACAACCTTCGGTTCTACCTGCCAATTCCAGTGCCGAGATGAGTACCGACCAATGGCAGGCCAAGAAACTATCACGTGCTTAGATACAAAACAATGGTCGGGAAACCCACTTCAGTGCGAAAGTATGTAACCATTATCATTATTTTGGTAGATTGATTTAGAAAGGAAAACAGATTAGCAAAACACAAAAAAAAAAAAACAGAAAATGTGGACATCGTGATGTGCTGCTCAATCGTTAATAAGTATTAAAACGATGAAACAATGAGGATCTCGACCTGGGCATGAAAATACCGATCTAGGTTAATAAAGAGAAAGGTATTTGCAGATGTGAAGCAAACTGAAAATGATTTCATATACGATGTAAAATACAGTGTCTTGTCACAACTTTTAATGGTTCAGACATTTTTTGTTTTGTTCAAGAATGTTATATATTTAACGTTATTCCCTGTTATACGTCCTGCTTGATGAGGATCCTGAAAATCGTATACGTGGGGCTCTTACAGTAAACCATGCTGGTCAAAGATGTGAATAGATGGAGATTATAAGTCCTCGTTGCCAATTCAGAAATTAAGGATGCCCGTTGCACATGATGCGTCATTAGGGACTTTTAGATTCTGCACAACGAGAACATGGACTGCCCTTTTAAGGCAATGTGACGTCACTGCCAGTGCCTTAAAAGGACGTCACATTGCCTTAAAATGGCAGTCCACGTTCTCGTCGTGCAGAATCTAAAAGTTCCTATTACCGACGCTAATCAAACCAATGGAAATTAGCGCAAGCGCCAGTAATCCAATATAATAGTTATACTATTTATATTAACTTCTTTTTTAATTCTCAACCTATTTCTCTCATTCATTGGCTCTAATTTCATATTTTCCTTTTCAGTAGTTTCTTCGTCATTTGATTGGGGGCACGTGCCCTTTGAAACTACGCCACTGAATAACGCATGACCTTTGCTATTTGTGTATCTCTTATCTACCCCGCTCAGAGATTACATGCGGTATACTGCCTGACCTAAACCACGCGGATCGTATCTACAGTAGCCCTGACCGCAGCATCGGTAGCGTGTGTGAACTGCGGTGCGAACCGGGGTATGAATTCAAGCGGGGTGCGATTACCAACGTCACATGCCAGAGGGGTAGTGAAATAAGTGCCCAGTGGTCCATTGAGGATGATGAACAAGATCCTTGCAAGAGTAAAGACATTTTAACAATTCTTTTGTTTTGTTTTGTTTTGATTTTTTCCCCTCATTTACTAATTAAATAATACTTACATTAAAAAATAAATAATCATAATGATTAAAAAGATTTTTTTTTCGAGTGGTAAATCTTCTGTTTTTCATTAATTAAAACGCCGATTTTATTAAATTGTATCATTATTTTCAGAGTTTTATTCACGTAATCATGGTCTTCTCAGTTTCCTTTTGTGCAAATGTTAAAGTGAATCTAGTCATTTGGCAATCAAGTTGATAAAACAATTAATCCACACATGTCAAAATATCAATCCAGTTCTATAATGTTCATCGTACTTTAGATCTTCAACTAACATGTGTCAAATTTGACAATATGTAGTGCAAAACGAAACCGATTCATGTAATCGTATGTTTGTAGGAGAGAATGTTGGATATAGATTGTTATTAACCGAAATATATGCACAAACTAATAATGATATCTGGGTAGTATTGAAACTCTTCATGTGGGCCTTGAAATTATTCTTACCTCAGCAATTACCAGGTAACTATTTACACTTGGGTGGAGAGTGGCAAGTTTAGATTAACGTCCTGTTAAAAAAACGTTAGTTCTTGTCTTGAATTCAAACCCTCAACAATTGGATTGCGAGTCAAGTGAATAAAACACAATACCAAGACACTTCCACAAAGTGAAAACTGATTGAGAAACTTCGAAAATAAATAACCAAATACGAAATTGACAATGGGTTCTGTGAGATCACGAAATTTTGAGAAGAATTTGAATGATAAAAAAGTACTAGAATGAATGAAAAGAGTGTTAAAATGGATGAGAAAACCTAATCAAATAAGATATATACATTATATACTACGCTGAATACAGATTTTTTTTTCTTCATCTTTACTACTACTAAATACTACATTTGTTTTTTGTGTCACTGATAGCTTATGAAAACTGGTAAAATCAAATTCCATCAAATTTGGCACAAAAATACATAAATATATTACCATCTCAACTTAACTTATGAACCGTTCCTTCGCTTGTGACATCATTCAGGTGCCATTTTGTTACATTTAATCAAACGCCACAATGATAAATATAAAATATCACCTTTACTCCAATAACACAGAGGTATCTTGCCCAGTACTCTACGTCGACAACCCTAAGCGTATCGATCCGGCCGGCATCTGCTTGGAGATCCCCAAATTCGAACAGGTGTGTACCTACGACTGCAAGCGTGGCTACCAGGCTGAAGGAACTGTTGATAGTGTTACCTGCCTGGCTGACGGAACCTGGAGCATACCTGCTGCCGATATCACGTGCAGAGGTGAGGGGATCCTGCGTCAGTTCGCTTGAAATGGCTCTTTTCGAAATTCCAATTACCTTTTGATAATCCGTATGTGTTTGGTACTCCGATTTGTGTTTTCGATGACAAATGATCCGTGCTTTATCATGTTCATGGCGTCAAGGATATCAGGTTAGGGTCACTGTTGCATTGAGGTTGTAGGTGGGCTAAGGGTTGGGTAGAGTGTTGGGCCAATGCCTCCAGGGCTTAAGTTAGAAATTCTGTTTGTGCATGAAACTAATTGCGAGCAATTGTTGTCGGAGAATGTTTCATACAACCATTCAAAATAATTTGCTTTTAATAGTTTTGTTTTTTACCTGACTGCTCAAAAAGCATGCATTTGCTTCTAAGTAAGCAACCAGGGGACCAACGGATTTTTGGAGAGGACTTTGGTAAGAAGTCTTCTCCTATGGACTTATCAATGAGGATTAGTGCGTTAATACTAAAGTGGACTGGCGCATCCACTTGGTTCAAATTATTCAAAGGGTTCACAATATTTCTGCTCCTTGTTCTCTCTCATCGGTATCCAGACATC